TGCTGTACTCAGGATGCATATGAGTACTGTACTCAGGATGTATCTGAGTACATACTCTCGTCCACACACGTGCACATCCACTCACTCACACATATACATACATACACGATGAATTTCTTGACCTTCTAGCCAGGGATATCTAATTTCCTTCTGCCTATGTATACTCACACTAAGTCCTGGCCCTATCTCAGTCGAAATAGTGTGAATGCACACACACGACCCTTCAACCTCAATTACGGGCCAAATTGGGAGCACTTTTGGGTCCAAGGGATGAGGTTCAGTCTCTTATCATGCATCTCAACACTAGTTTTATGTATCAATAGCGGCATATTACACGAATTATTCACTATTTTTAATTCTTTCTTAAATTTCTAGATAGCGTTTACATCTTAATAACACAACTCAGAGCTCCTTATAAACTCTTGTGCAAGTTAAACACAAAATAACTAGCTAGAGATAACATTACATTTTCTTCCATACTCTTATTTCTTCTAAATATATGTATATAAGCCTACCCTTATTTGCACGTATTATCCATTATTCACATTTTTCTAAATACAAATATCATAAGAATAATTAAACGTAAATCAGGACATTATGTTATATTCAAATTAAGCCTAGCAATAAGCCTAGCAATTAAGCAATACGCCTAATCAGTTAATTTTGCATACGGCTTACTCTCACATTTGCATATGCAAGATGCATAAATGTGCTTACGGCACGTCATCTTAGTAACGCCTTTACTTAATCACTAACACTATCGTATGCAAAATAACATAGACGATTTCAAATTCCGGGGCAGACATGATATGTGACAGAGCAGAGGAGGAGGCGGGTCTCGCCTGGAACAATGCATGGAAGTGTGTGGGAGCCCTTGTGGCAGGACACACATATGATACATATGTGTATACATATGAATAAACATATATGACGTGTAAAATGCAGCCACGCCCATGGCTGTGGTTGGAGAGATAAGCCAAGCATCACACTCATGGTAGCCATCATGCGGCTGAGGACAGAGCATCTCCTCTCCTAACATGTGCAGGAGAGAGAATTGAGTCATTGTTAGGCTCTTTATACTGTATATTTATATATAAAATAGTACCTTAAAAGCTCTCCAGTTGTATAAACCGAGGAATTAACACATCACACACTCTTTGCACAATTAAATATGTTTAATCAAGCGCTAATACTATATAACCCAAGCATAAATATGAGGACAGCTATTTCCTGCTGGTCTGTTGACAAGCACAAAGGCAGCTGCGGGCCACGTGTCTGCTGCCTGGTCAAGGTCATCATTTGTGTGGTGTTCACACTAAAACATTCAGGCAACTGTACAAGCGTTTAACACCTATAAATCAATTAATAAAATGTTTATGAGCAAGCTAATATGACAATTATAACAAAATTATGTTAAACACCTGATTTAGACATAATTTTTATGAAAATTTTTAATTAACATTGCTAACGTCAATAACCCGATCACTCACAGATGTTCGGGCAGCTTGACTTTGCTTAGAGCAAGACAAGTAGGGCAGTGTTTATGTTCAATGTTTATATATAAATATGACTATGACTACTCTCTTCTGCTGCTACACACACTAATATTATGACTACTCTCTTCTACTCCTATTACACATGCTAGTGAAATGCAACAAAATATTAACAATTTACTTTTACATACCAAGTTTTGTAAACTGAAAAAAACAATAAATGTTATTTTATGTAAAATACTGATGACTTGCGGGGGTTCTCATCTTCCCTGGAACCAAGGGCAGTTCATTTGGAGGTTTTAATAATTTTATTGGCAAACATTTTGAGCATGTTGTTAATGTCCATTTTATGTGGGATTTAGAACATGATTTAATGGTTATCTGAGTTTTCTTATTCACAATTTGGCTTCCATAAATATGGTAGGTGTACTTGAAATATCACGTCCGGAACGCTTTTCCTGTTAATAATATATATATATATATATATATATATATATATATATATATATATATATATATATTATATATAATATATATGTTAATAATATATATATATATATATATATATATATATATATATATATATATATATATATATATATATATATATATATATATATATATATATATATATATATATATATATGTCGTACCTAGTAGCCAGAACGCACTTCTCAGCCTACTATGCAGGGCCCAATTTGCCTAATAAGCCAAGTTTTCATGAAATAATTGTTTTTCGACTACTTAACCTACCTAACCTAACTTTTTCGGCTACCTAACCTAACCTAACCTATAGAGATAGGTTAGGTTAGGTTAGGTAGGGTTGGTTAGGTTCGGTCATATATCTACGTTAATTTTAACTCCAATAAAAAAAAAATGACCTCATATATAACGAAATGGGTAGCTTTATCATTTCATAAGAAAAAAATTAGAGAAAATATATTAATTAAGGAAAACTTGGCTTATTAGGCAAATCGGGCCTTGCATAGTAGGCCGAGAAGTGCATTCTGGCTACTAGGTACGACATATATATATATATATATATATATATATATATATATATATATATATATATATATATATATATATATCCGCTTGACCATCACGACCGGACAATAAGGAAGTGATAGCCGAGGCTATATGAACCACTTCCCCGCCGGCACTCGGATGGTAATCTTGGGCATAGCATTTTATATATATATATAAATATATATTTATATAAATATATATTTATATAAATATATATATTTTATATATATATATAAATATATATATATAAATATAATAAATTGGGCATATATATATATATATATGTCGTACCTAGTAGCCAGAACGTACTTCTCAGCCTACTATGCAAGGCCTGATTTGCCTAATAAGCCAAGTTTTCACGAATTTCACGAAGTGGTCTTTCTTAGACCACTTTCAACCGTCGCAAAATAGATGGATATACGGTACATGATAAGCAAATCAATTTATATGTAACTACAAACTCGCCGCAAATATTAATTGCTAAATGGATATATCAACACTGGGTACAGGACCTGGATCACAACAGTCTACAAATTAAACTGTATAAATAGCTTATCTAGACAGAAGTTTGCTTGACAAAATTCTGAACCCATTATATGTGGCTCTGTAATCATTTCCACTACCACCCACAGGATAATTATGGGGTGCAGCAACTGATCTAAATAAAAATGGGACCACTTTCTCCTGCTTCCGACAATATAAGGGGTGCGCCATATGAGGATATTTTATGCACGATTGTTTTCTTAATTACTCTTAATAATATATCCTCCTTTCTATCTTGAGTTCCTTATACAATCTATGCATATATTTCAATTTTTCTTGTCAAATTGCAAATTTAAAACTAGCATATATAATATATGTTTTTGATTATTTGCAAATATACATCTCCAGTCATATTTGCAGCTACAAATTAGTTTTCTAAGATAAATTCAAACTAGTTCACATTCACACTGTGTCTTGTGCTACCCACTACTCCCACTATTAGTACTTAATACATGCAACTTCACCTGTAATAATTTCCATCAATTTATGTGTAGTTATTATGTTAAACTCAAATTTTGCTCCAATGTACATTTTAATAAACATATCTGTTAGATGCTTTGCAAGAACGTAAGAAGACATATGTTATGAACTCTCACAATCCTATTGTACCTTCTTGTATATAAATAAATAAATAAGAGTAATGTTATTGAGAAAATCAATACATATAGTTAGTTTAGTTCATTTACTATGCACCCTATACCCATCCCATGGGCGGCTGTGAAAAACCTCACAGAGACACATCATTCACCAACTAAGCAAGTTACAGTCACGATGAGGTAGTTACAAAGTGTAATGACCATATAGTTATACCAAGAAATCAGTAATAATAATAATGAAGACAGGACATTTGCCCGAAGTTTGAAGACATAGCATTTGCCCGAAATGCTATGCATGCTAGTGGCTTTACAAGAATGTAAAATCAACTTAATTTCTATGTTCTCTGTTAACCCCCAATGTACCTTCTTGTATATAAATAAATAAATAAATAAATAAATAAATAAATAAATAAATAAATAAATAAATAAATAAATAAATAAATAAATAACGAAACGCTATGCTTTTTTGCCCGAAACGCTATGAGTATTAGTGGCTTTAGGTATTGCATGTACTAGCTCTGTCTATAAATCAATCAGAATGTTTGTAACTCTACATCTATATATGTACTTTTCCTAAATAAAATATTATTGAAATTGAAATAAGTTAATTGAGGTAAAATACACACAAAGGGATGAGGTAGCTCAAGCTATTCTCACCCCATTCAGTACAACGTGTTCATACATATATAGATACAGACACATCACAAACAATAAACATATTGCCGAACATTCTGAGAAAATAGTAATAATATTATTATTAAATGTTTCCTGCCCGAAACGCTTTGCGTAATAGTGGCTTTAGGCATTGTATGTACTAGCTCTGTCTATAAATCCATCAACTTTTGTATCTTACCTTGTATGTATGCACTTTACCTGATTAAAAATGTGTATTTGTATTTGTATTGAAAGGGTACCACCTCTGGTGCAAGTGTAGGGACCCATAGCCTCGGAGAAAAAAATAAAAGTCCTCAGAGAAGACCTTGTGGATCCTCACTGAACACTTAGATATTTTCTTCTCCTACCACCCCCTATTCTTTTGGTATGTGTGTGTATATTTATCAAACTTTACCTTTATTTGTATTATTATTATAAGATTATATATTCTATATTATTAAGATTTAGTCATTAATGTTTATCATACCCGAAACGCTTTGCGTAATAGTGGCTTTAGGCATTGTATATACTAGCTCTATCTATAATTCCATCAATCTTTGTAAAATCTCTTGTATGTATGTACCTTACCTAAATAAACATTTATTTATTATATATTATTTATAAATGAAGAGAGGGCATCCGTTTTCTGTGATGGAGACTTTCTCCCGGCCGCGGTGTGGTGCTGCAGTAGTCGCCTGGATGTTGACGGTGTCGGCCTGCAGCAATGGCCTTCGGTGGTGTTATTCCTCTTTATAGCAAACGCAGTGCACCCTGGGCTCTGAGAAGAATATTCAGATCGAAAGAGAAAGTGCTAATACTGTTGGTGTGCTTGACTTTCCTGTTTATATGCATAGGGCCTATATTTTTCCTGCCAGATTTGCGAGGGGGTCTGAGCACCCGAGTAGACCATGTTTACAAAGTGTACAAACAGATGCAGAAGGCTGGACCCGAGCTTATACTTCCCCCTCCCCCGCCGCTCTCAGGGGAGGAAGGAGCTGTCAGGAAGCACGAGGGAGTTTACCATAACTTGGTGGAGCACAATGATGTCCATCTGTCGGACGACAAGCAGAGGTTAATGGAGAAAATTAACAGTGACGATGAGTTGCGGCATTTGAGAGTGATAGAGAAGCCCGTGGTGCTGACGGTGAGCTCCACGGCGGCTAGTAAGGTTAACCCCATAGTGGAGCAGGTGGACGAGAGTGCCAGAGTGCAGGGTGGCAGTGGGGTGGAGGCTGAGAAGGCCGGCCTGCAGGTCAAGAAGTCGCTGCCTGTGGTCCAGGCTGGGGAGGATGCCGACCCCGTTGCCAGACAACGGAGGGAAAAAATTAAAGAGGTAAATTTTGCATTTAGCTTTTGAGTTAAATCTAAGGTGTCGTAATCTGTTGTATTCTACGCAGGTGGGGATTTGATTCCCCCGTCGTCTTGTGGTTGGGTGTTATTCCTTCGATCCGTCCTCGGATTCGAGATCCATGTTCTCGTGTCCCTTTCAAGGGCTGTATAGTCGTACTGGCTTGGTGCATTTCCTGATAATTACTTTGTCCGAGCACTGAACCTTTACCCGAACAGGTCCACGGAAATACGGGATAAACGTCCGAGTATGTGTTAAATGGTTGATTTGCCCAGCTGTAGAACCTGATCCCCAGGTTCTTTAACCCCATCTCATAAATGTAATATTTGAAGTGCCTTCTACTTAATTTTCAAAATATAAACATTCTCTGGGATGTCAGCTGTCTCCTGTTACTATTAATAAAGGCCAAATATTCAATGACGCTTTCTTATACTATACTGCTGTAAGTTTTATGATTGCCTGGCCACTACAGATGCAGCATTGGGATAATGGATATCTCCCGGTAGATACCTATGTGTATGTAATGGGTAATGACTGTCAGAAAAATAGTTCTATGGTTAGGTATTAGATGCTTGCATAGGACCGTGCTCAGTTGATTTGTGTTGCAAAACTGGGAGCTGATGTGCAATATTACACCTTGGGTGAGGCACGTGAGGTGTGATCACGTCACCTGCCACTATTTTACGTTAAATTGGTTGGTAGGACATAAGCAGAGTTTACGAGACAAGTTTATCCATTTGTTTTCGTTTGTGAATAGTGGAGTGCGTATGAAGCACATTTGAAACTATATAAAATGTCAATTCTTCACATATTTTTATTTTCATGATCTGACAAATGTAGGGTAAAGTTAGGGTTGCTGGATACCTATGAAAGTTGTTGATATTTATGATGGACTAAATTTATATTTATATTAGGTTTATTGCAAAACTTATGAGTGAAAAAAGGGAACATTGTTCTATAAAATGTGTCTGAAATGGATATTATACATGCAAAAACCTACAGAGAGATTAACAAAAAAATTGGGATGTCAGAAGTTTTATTGGACACAATCCTCTACATATCCTGGCACTGGTCTACAGATAGCGAGACATATCACTCATTTGTAAGAGAATTTTGCTAGTATAACCACGTATGTTAAGATGTATTTTATTCATTCTTTCATTTCTGTGTTATTAGGTACTGTAACTGTTAGGATCTGTGGGGGGATTGAAGACCAGTGCCAATTATCATAGTGTAAGGCTTGGTACTCCCCAAGCGTTAGCTCGGGAATACCAAGTGAGCAGGTTCGAATCCTCCTCATGGCTCCTATAGATTTTCTTCCATTGTTCAGTTTCTCATTTCTTGGGACTCACAGTTACGATCTGTTATTATGGAAGGTTTTTCCTTCTCTTCATCCCATGCAATTGAAGACTAGATAATTAATGATTTTAAATACATTCCTTGGTAACCACGCATTACAAAGCATATTAATATACAGGGCAGCATGGTATGTTTGGCATGCATCAGTGACTCAACCTTCATACCCTTGAAATAATTCTGGGTCGTACTTTATATAAACACGCACAGATTTCATTGTCAACTGAAAGGAGACGATTTCTGTCTTTGCTTTTGACACTAGTTAAATGAGAAAAATTCAACACAACAGTGATTCCAAAATACATTTGCATATGATTAGAATTAGCCTATTTATCACTATCTCTAGTGGAACGTCCTTAGTTATCTTGGGGTTCTATGGAACCCCCGTTGAGAAAAGCTGATATAGCTCAACGCCTAGATATGTTACACTACAATAACATTTTGCGTAATTTTTGTTTGTCACAATTGTTTTTTTTATCTAGTCTTCATTTACCACAAGAAAAAGTATCAATATGTATTGTTAACCACCAAAAAGTTCACATTTTGCATCATTGAATTAGCCCAAATGGCATTCTCTTAAATATAAAATAAAACTGAAAGAACTGAACCTAGCCTAACCTGTCCTAGTAATCCTAGGCTTTATATAATGCATATATATGTGCTACTAGGCCTAGGAATATTTTAAGTTTTGTGTTTAGCTTTTTCCCCTCGACTCTCTAAAATTAAAAGTACAAAATGTGATCCTTTTGGTGGTCCTGCACTATATATATATATTGGTACTCTGGACCAAATACTGTAGTTACGATAAGTACAGTACTGTCGTTTTATAAAAATCGATTGGCATGCTACTTTATAAATTTTAGTTATTTTGTATCCCATATTAAGCAACAACCTGTGAGTTATCCAAACAGCCTTATGATGTGTGACAGGTTGTGGTATCGCAGCTATACTGAACCAAGATGGTATGATTCTCCCTCACATAAATAAAAAAAGTGCTGCTATTGGCCTTGCAGTGTGTAAGTCGCAGGTGGAAACAAAAGAAAATCATTAAATAAATAATTAAAACAATTCACTGAAATATTAATGAACAAAAATGGCACTTGAAAATACTTGGCTATTATGTAATGCAAAGGTGAACTAGATAATATGACATTAACACTTTCGCGCATCCGAGCAGATGCGAACAAAAATAAACTATAAGCAATGAATACAAAGCATAAAGATATACTGGTGTACTGTAGATGGCTATCATACCACCCTACACATTGCATTGGCTGAAGGCAGATGATGGGTGAGAGAGACCAAGGTGTTCCAAAAGCACTAAGAGAGAGACTGCTTCTCCAGGGTTGTTGTTGTTATAGATTCAGCTACTCAGAACAAGTTCCAAGTAGCACGGGTTATGGTGAGCCCGTAACTTACCTGGCACAGGAGCGGGGCAAGTAGCACAGGCTATGGTGAGCCCATAGCCTGGCACAGGAGCAGTGCTGTGAGGGGGCTCTCCAGGGAGGCGGTGCCCTTTATATAGTCCAGCGGTGATGACTCATCCAGTGTCAATGCAAGGTGGACACCTGGTCAACTAGCAAACTGCTCCTTGTGGCTGGCGGTGCCTTTGTGTTAAGCTGCACCACTGCCAGTTGAAGGCAGCTAACTGCTTGTTTGTGGAGGCAAACTACAGGTTATCAGAGGCGCCCAGCTTGCCTCTGAGTTGTACCCGGCCGTGCCAGGCCCTGGTGGGTATGGAGAGGTGGCAGGACTGATTACTCATCTGGGCTGGTGTAGATGTAGACTTCCAGTGCAGAGGCATTGAAGGTGAAGGGAAAAGGCAGTTCCACTGCTATGCGGGGGATTCACGTGACAGATGATTCTTACGAATGACAGTTCTATCCTCAGTGTTTGTATAACAGCCAGGAAATATTTCTATACTGAGGGCGCCTGACAGCTGAATGGACAGCGCTTCGGATTCGTAGTCCTGAGGCTCCGGGTTTGATCCCCGGTGAAGGCGGAGACAAATGGGCAAAATGCTTCTTTCACCCTGATGCCCCTGTTCATCTAGCAGTAAATAGGTACCTGGGAGTTAGACAGCTGCTACGGGCTGCTTCCTGGGGGGTGTGTAACAAAAAGGAGGCCAGGTCGAGGACCGGGCCGCGGGGACGCTAAGCCCTGAAATCATCTCAAGGTAACCTTACACTGTCCAAACAATTTTGTTTTCATTATCACATATTCCCTGAAGCTTGCTTCCAAAAAATGTAATGCTCCTTGTGCTTCTATTCAGCGCATAAGCAAATCTTAGATAAGAGTTTATTATTGAGCTACAGTATTCCTTTAGTAATGAGACTACAGTATTCTGCAACACAACACAAGAGTGAATGCTGTACACTCAACACCATAAAAATACAGTATTGCAATGTTTGGAATTGCAACATGTACCATTTGTCTTCATATCCCAGTTCCAGTATCCATATGGTGAGACATACCCCACATACGTAAGGGATGGTCAACTGGGATACGTAAGTGATAGTCCTGGGGACCATTCAGGCTTGTTCGTACGCGTAAGGGAATCTTGCTTGTAGGTACTATACATACATAAATAACGTTTCGTTTGATTAATTCTAATGCTTGTAGGGGAGAACAGTTGGGAACGCCAGCTAGCACACAAGTACAAAAGCGCCCAAAATACTTTTAACTCAAAAGACATGTAAAGACAGGTGTGTTGCTTCTGACTTTGTCTTTATTAATTAATATTACATACTGTATTAGGCATTTACCTTTAATAATTATTATTATATACAAGTATAACAACTGTATCACACAATAAATGTAATAGAAGTTTACCCCAAAACTGGCCACAGTCTTGTGTATTGTGCGTTCGGTCATGTGTGTGTGCATTCAGATGTGTAGTGTTTCAGCTGGCGGGTGTCTTTCTTACGAAGCCCGGATTATGTTTATTCTATCACTAAACATATTATGTTGGTGTTTTAATATTGAGCATTTATATACAATACTGTGTATACGAAACTTACAAATTTTGTGTCTGAAATGGTGAAAATATGTGCGCGCAATCCGTCCTCTGTACCAAATGTGTAATATCCTGCTATGAGATTAAGGCAGCTCAGTCGATTAAGGCAGTGTCTGGGATCCTCTCGGACATAGGTTCGAACCCTCGTCACGGCCCTTGTGGATTTGTTCATCCTGCTATGAGGCTTAGAGTCGCTTCTCGAATGTCCAGTAGATGGGGTGAGAGTCCCTACGAAAAGTAAATTTAAAACTGATATCTTTTTTCTCCAATAAGATATATTTCCTGTTATGCACTGACAATATCGAATATATAACTCCATCTTTTTGAAGGCATGTGATATTTTAGCCTTCATTAGCGTATCTCAGTTAATTACACAATATGTCGGCCAATGCGTAGGCTTCTACACTCCATGACCGACAAGCTACTGGACCCGATTATAAAAACACATGTATCTTCACTTGAGCTTTAAATATGTCCATGGTAAAGGACTTGAAGTGAAGCTTATATTTCAACCTTTCCTGAGACATATAAAACATTCACGATTATTAACGTATTTACATGATATAAACATTTTTCAGAGAGAGTTGCTCTGTCAATTGGTGTGTGCGGGGTCGGTGCTCGCCGATTATAAAAATACACGTACAGTATGTTCATTTGAACTTTAAACATGTCCATGGAAAAGTATTTAACATGAAGCTTATATTTCTATCTTTCTTGAGGCATATAAAACATTTACGATTACAGTACAGTATTAACATATTTATTTGAAATAAACATTGTTTTGAGAGTTGCTCCATCAGTCGATCTGTTTGTCGGTTGGAACTCTGCGGTGTACACATATCTTTGCAAGAGTTTGAAATGTGCTTATGGTAAGGTATTTAAAATTAAGCTTATATTTCTATCTTTTTAGCAACATATAAAGACACTTAATTAAATTCATTAATGTTTCTACGTGAAATAAGCATTCTTCTGAGATGAAGGTGATGAGTCACAATAACGTGGCTGAAGTAGTTTGACCAGACCACACACTAGAAGGTGAAGGGACGATGACGTTTCGGTCCGTCCTGGACCATTTATATATATTCATCTCAAATTCTGAGATGAATATTGTGGGTTCCAAGCTCGACGAGCAAGGAAAATTGCAACTTTTATACAACTTCATATATCTTCAGTTTTACTTAAAATATTTTTCAGATAGAGGTTTTGCATATAGATTATGTTTCCGTTTTTCTTCTGACATAATAATTTTTGTTTAACGAGTTATCATTTTCTTGAAAATTATCTTCAACAATTTTCTTTGGGCGTTTGTCTGTTCCAGCGTACAGTACTTGCACATTTTTAGAATCCGATACATTGGTTGACCCACCTGATACTTGGGTCAGATTCCAATATGATTCTGAACATTTTCACCTAACTATGTACTGTACTCATAGCTCACAAGTGTGCTACAGAAAATTACAATTATATTAAAATTAAAATGATTTTATATTGATTAATTAGTTTTGCGTACATACATTATATATTTTTATTTCCCTTTCCGATATATTAGCCCCATATAATTTCTTTCCCCTTCTTATACTGCATCCCAAGGGGTCCAGACACTGACATTCCAAGGGATTCATATACCATTGGTGGCCTGTTTCTTGTGAACCACTTGGTGTTAAGATGCGATATAACTAGACACATTAACAGAGTGTACAGAACAGTATTAATATTTGTCGTGGTGTTCCATGAAAAACTGAACACTATAATATTTTTTCTAACATTTTTGTATTAGATAATGTTCATGTTTTAATGTTAGTGTTATAATCAAAGAGTTCTCTTACACTTTTGTGGTTTCGTTCTGTGCACTAGTGCAGGTGGTATAGGCTTTCTCAGTGCTGTTGTCTGATTACCAACGACTGGATATAGGCAACTCTTCCCTAACCACTTTAGGAAAAAGTTCTGTAGCTGTCCTATACAGTGTAATTTTGCCCAACCACTTGGGCTGGACGGTAGAGCGACGGTCTCGCTTCAGGCAGGTCAACGTTCAATCCCCGACCATCCAAGTTCAGTCTCCGTGGTGTACTGGTAAGACACTCGCCTGGCGTTCCGTGAGCGCTATGTCATGGGTTCGTATCCTAGCCGGGGAGGATTTACTGGGCGCAATTCCTTAACTGTAGCCTCTGTTTAACGCAACAGTAAAATGTGTACTTGGATGAAAAAACGATTCTTCGCGGCAGGGGATCGTATTCCAGGGACCTGCCCGAAACGCTACGCGTACTAGTGGCTGTACAAGAATGTAACAACTCTTGTATATATCTCTTGTATATATCTCTATATTCTAAAAAAAAAAAAAAAAAAAAAAAAAAAAAAAAAAAAAAAAAAAAAAAAAAGTGGTTGTGCACCATTCCTTCCCCCCGTCCCATCCCTAGTCCTTGTCCGCATCCCTTCCAGGTGCTATATAGTCGTAATGGCTTGGCACTTTCCCCCTGATAGTTCCCTTCCCTTATGTCTAAGTGGTATGTTTTGTTTAATGCAGTTCAGTGACTAATTAAATAAGGAATGAACATTTTTTTATGAAGACAAGTATAAAGTGATATAATATGTAGTTCTGCTAACCACAAGTTACCAAAACTATGAATGAAAAGGTCTGTAAATTGGGAGGGTCTCGTGCATAGCATTTTTACAAAACATGTCAGGATATGTAAAACTACATAATATGCTTTAGCTATGTAAAATAAAATATATGAGTGTAATGAAACACTACTGTGCTATGGGTTACCCCTCTCTTCCCTCTTCTTGCTAATCTCTATATGGAGTACTTCAAAACTGTTCTTCCCACTATTGATATTCATCTCTTTCTCTGACTTGTTGACATTTTTGCTCTATGGCCCCCATCTGGTTGATACCTGGTTGATGGGGTTCTGGGAGTTCTTCTACTCCCCATGACCCTAGTCTTTTCCAGCCTTTCCACTCTTCTCATAACAATCTCACTCATATCAGTTTCAAAGATGAATGGGAATTTAACTACCTCCTTCCCTTTCTTGACGTTTATGTTCACAACTGTGTCCTGTTTCTCCCTCTCGCTATTTACCGCAAACCCACGCACAGTGGTACGTACATTCACTTCTTTTCCTACCATCCTCCTTCTGTTAAGAAAAGTGTTCTCATCTCTCTCCCTCCATGCATCAGTGACCCTCAGTTTCTTGATTCTGAAATTTCTTTCATTTCCAAATCTTTCTCTCGCTTTGGATACCCCTTACATTTGATCAACTGTGCCTATTCTCAGGCTAAACATAATTTCTTTCACCCCTAAACCTGTTTCCAACACTAGTACCACTGTGCTCTTCTTTCTCTTCATATCTGAACTCAAAAATCTCACTAATACCCTTCGTCCTCTTGACATTAAGCTTGCCTTTTGGCAAACTAATACTCTTTGTAGTAATCTGGTTCACACTGCTCCTCCTGCTTCCAATGTTGCTGGTGTCTACTCTATTTCCTGTTTGTCTTGTCCTCTCCAATACTTTGGTGAAACTGACCATACACTTAATGACAGACTTAAGGGACACACACAAAAGAAGTGTTAAGTCTGCAAACACAAACAATGCTCTTTTGTCATGTTAGGGACTCTTAATCATCCTATAGATTGGTCTTCTTCCAAAATAATCTTTCCTGCCTCTATTCTTCACAGATGCCGTCTTGTTGAATCAGCCCAGATACACACCCTACCCAACATGAACCTTAGTCCTGGCTTTGTTGGTGTTGACTCTTCCCTTTCACAGTACTGTACATACAGTACTTAAATGCTCTAACATTCTTAACAAACATGATCTGACTTGAGCTTTGACCCTGTTTCTTATTCCTACCTCTTTTCTTATTCTTACCTTACTCTTATTCTTCCATTCATGCTATTCCTAGCTTATTCTTACCTTTTTCTTACTTGTTCCTGACCTCTCTTCTCACACTCTTACCATATATATTTACCTGTACCTTCCTCTCTTCAGTTACATGACTTGATAATAGTCAAGGATGGGATGAAACATCGTCGTTTCTTCACTTTCTGATGTGTGGTTTGGTCATATCTTCAGTCACATTGTGATTCATTGTCTGTATGTATCCAAAAGGCTTTCTTGTGCGGGACTCCATAAAAGGTTGGCCTAAGGAACGAATGAGCCTAGGAACGGTATTTGCAATCGGCCCATCCTTCCCTGTCTTGCAATATTTGTAATTGTATCACAGAAATGAAGTAGATTTGTTACACAAGACCTTCCCATTTGAAATCCAAACTAACTATCCGTTATTATGTTGTTACTTTCCAGGTACTCTGTCCACTTGATCTTAATTACTTTTTGTAGTGTCTTTACTACCCCATTTATCTATGATATAGGTCTATAGTGTTGGATGTGCATCCAGAGGGCAAGCATATTTTGTACGTTTATTATTGTCATGATTACTACCCTATATGTCCACAAGAAATCACTTGTGTATTCAGTTGGAATGTATGAATTGTAACATACCACAAACCAGTTTTGTATGTGTCATAGACTATTGGTGCTCAAGCAAATGGAGGTTGAGTTTGTGCTTGAATCTTTGGGTACTAAGGAGTTTTCTTTCAACTACTGTACTTTGGCTAGTTGGTGGAGTGATGGCCTTGCTTCTTGCAGGTCCGGGCTTGTTCCCAAAAGGTCCAAGTGGTTCAGCACTGAGCCTTCATCCCATCCTCATGTCCCAGCTCCTTGTCATCACTTCTTTCAAGTGCTATATCACATTGGCTTAATACTTTCACCTCATAATGAGCATCAACTTCATTTGCTATAGTTTGAGCATTCTTTATCATTCCCATTTTTTTGTCATTTTTAATATTTCAGCTCATTTACTTTTTTTAGATGGTGCTGCATGCATGGCGAGGCTACAAGACTTATGCATGGGGCAAAAATGAATTACGGCCAGTGAGTAAGCGTGGTCACACGGCAGGAATCTTTGGTAGACAAGATATGGGGGCTACAATTGTTGATGCATTAGACACACTGTATATTATGGGATTAATGGAGGAATTCAACGAAGGGCGTGCCTGGATTCAATACCACCTTGATTTTAACCAATTGGTAAGTATTTGGATGGGAGGGATTGCTCCCTTACTTTTCAGTTTGGTATACAGTATTTTCCAAGGTTTATCTATGTGATTATCATTCAATTCTCTCTCTTACTGCAGTTTATAAAATTTTATGATGAAAAGCACTCTAGTACATGACTAGTTTCCCTTACCATGCTTGTTTGTTTCTGCATTTAGATTAATTCATGCAAATAATTTCAGAGATCAGAAATGTCCGTTTTTGAAACCAACATTCGATTTGTGGGAGGCCTTCTGTCAGTCTACTCTCTGACAGGTGATCCACTGTTTCGAGACCGTGCTCTACACATAGCTCGTAAACTCCTGCCAGCTTTTGATACTCCTACTGGGATACCATATGCCCTGATTAATGTTGGCAATGGGGTAAGACGCAGGTGTTTCATCTTGTTGTACGAACTAAGTGCTGAATCTTCATAGGCTTCTTGTGTAGCATGACAGGTGATAAATTATATTGTATCATGTGCCATTATTGTTTAGTCTAGTAGGCTACCGTGTTTTTTTTTAGTTTAGTAATGTTTAATTTCAAACTAGTAGTAGGCATCATCCATCAGTCTCAGGAGACTATGGAGTTGCGCTCTGGTTGTCAGTCTGGAGTGGCCTCCAGACCGACAAGGTGTCAAGTATAAGCCTCTACAACAAATGTTCAGGTGTTTCCTCAAATAAGTACAGGCTATATTGTAAACTTGAGACCAGCATTACTCTATAAAGGTATCTCAAATAAGACGTTTAACCACAATTTATGTGATTAAATTGTCAAATTTATTTGTGTCGGTTAATGGAATGTTACAAGTGCATGTGATATTCATTTTGATTTCAGTAAAAGTAGTAACTAAATGAATCTTAATATTGTTTATAAAACTTTCCAGATTGCTAAAAACTATGCATGGGCGAGTGGTGGCTCCAGCATTTTATCCGAGTTCGGAACATTGCACCTCGAGTTTGTTTATCTCTCTGACATTTCTGGAGATCCAGTATTCAAGGAAAAAGTGTTCAGGATTCGGGATGTCATAAGGAAGACGGAACGTCCTGATGGTCTTTATCCCAACTACATGAATCCCAAGACAGGAAAATGGGGCCAGCGTATGTATTTTAATTTTTTTTTGCCAAATATCTTTTGATTCCTGTAAGTTTCATCTTTTTGAGGATATGGGGAGGCACTCATTAAGTTAATTCAAATATGATTCAGCTTTGCTTGGGAATTAGCAGCACACATTATGTATTTAGAGTACGTATATTCAAACAACCACATGCTTTCTGGACACCTCGGAACCGAGACAAATTGAATAATCTGTTGTGTCCGAATAAGTGGTTCATCATCCTGAAAATCTTGAGGAACAATTTGAAAATTTGATGGAAAAAAATTGAAATTTCACCTCTAAGCCGTAAGGGCTGAGTAATATATTTGCCAACACAAACTGGTCTCATTAGCATTATAAATTTGCTAAGGAGATACATTTTCATCCTCCACAATCTATGCAAATTTACATAAATATTAATCTGCACCAGCAGCATCAACCGAATGCCTTTTGCCACATTAATGTTTTTTCTAATGCCATGGCAGAGTTTAAAGTTTCTGAGCCATCAATCAATGTAACCACTGCTCAGAAATTTTTATCGGTTTGTGAAATTCTCGGGCTTTTTCCATGAAGAACCAGCTGGCCACTGGCTTTTTTGTTTCCTTACGCTTCTGCCACTCCGACACTGCATTATCAGCAATCTACACCTTGGCTTTTTTTGCTACTTTCTCTTATGTATTGCTTTATCACTTCTAGCAAAATATTCGAAGATGGTAGATTTAGCATTAATAATGTCTGAAAGCTTAGTCTCAGTCACATGATACACCCACCACGACATTTTCAAGAGCGTTGCTTGGGACTTCCCAGCACTTAGCTTCGATTCCTCCTCATGGCTCCTACTGATTTTCTCGTTTATACATCACGTTAATGTGATTTCTTTGAACATGTATATGTTGAGATAAGGTGGGATATAAGATTGTGGATATCTCCTTAAATTGCTTTAATGTAGTTGAAACATATCTAATTTCATTTATTGTTAACAAAATGGTATACATGTTCAGTTTTATTATGCTTTATTTCAGGTCATACATCTGTCGGAGCACTTGGCGATAGCTTCTATGAATATCTATTAAAGGCCTACCTACAGTCAGGTGGTAAAGATGAAGAAGCGCGAGATATGTACGTAGAAGCTATTGCGGCGATCACTAACCGCTTGGTCCTCAAGTCTAACACGGGACTGACTTATATTGCTGAAAGCAAATTTAATCGTCTGGAACACAAGATGGATCACTTAGCATGCTTCTCTGGTAAGAGTTTTGTTTGCTGCATATTGTAAATTATCTTTCATGGGAATATCTTAGTTATCTTCAACTATCTTGTACTGTACTTCTCAAAACATGTGTAGTCATTGTTAAAAGTTTATATTTTCTTGTGCTTGTTTTGAGAGCAGTGTCACACTTTGAATACCATTGTACATATTTATCAGTTGTTATCAGTTTTTATCAGTTTGAAATGGGGTTCTTGAAAAATCTGCCATCATCATTGTTGTGGCACACAATCCACAAGCCATATATACTCAGGAAAGAAGATTCCGCTACATTCAAAGCCTTATTTCTATACTCGACGCACTTGTGCTCCCGTACGTAATAATCCCTGTGGCCAACCTCGGCAGGAGGGAAATTACATTAATAAAAGCAACCGGGGGAACACTTTGCTATGAGAGACAGGTGGCAGATATTTCTTATTTTGATACGACTACTGTTATTTTCTTCTTTGTTGATATCCAAAAAAGGCTGTGTAGGTATAGAGTTGAAATATAGGTAATATGGTTCTTTTATATATGTATATTTTTTTATTTACCTTTGGCATTTCCTCTTCTTTCCTTCTCTGCTTGCTTTTAATTTTCCCTTCAGCTCGGTTTTCATGCTTTACTTTTCCCCACTTACACCTTGCTTCCTCTGACCTTACCATCTATCTTGCCTTATAATGGTTTCCTAACCATTTTTCCTGAGTGTTGATGTGATGAGGGGACCAGGATGGACTGAAACATTGTTGCTTTCATTTCCTTATTTCAGTTGCATTGTGTTCAGCCACATTGTGACTCAATCTCTGCAAAACAAATTCAGATCTCTTGCTTCAATACTAGCAATTGATTAATAATTGTTAGAATTGCATTATCGTACCAGGAATCTGCTTTGCTAAATGCTGTTATAGTACTGGCTGTATGGTACATATTTGTTTTGTTATCCTTCTGGACACGAATAGAACCTGTCACCCAGTGCTTCAGTATGTTGCATTTCTCGTTTGATCACCGCTTAAGTTTATTTTTAAATAAACGGCTGCAGCAGCAGCAGCTACTAATACTACTACGTACTACTAATACTTATTCTAATCATCATCAATAATAATAATAATTATAGTAAGGTCAGCTGTCACTGTAGAGTCTATTATTACTTTTTTCCTTATAGTGCTCTTCTCTTTTCCACTGAGCGTGTCTTCACCTTATAAAAGTACATTCGCCATGTTAACATCTTTCACTAAACCAAATGTGATTTTTCAATTGGTTCGTGGATTCTGTTCGTATACTGTATTATTGGATCTGTAATTTATTATATGCAGAACTGCATTGTGAATTTGCAAAGAAATTAGGTTTCTAATGATTATACAATGTTTGAACCTTTTTTTTCTAGGTGGGATGTATGCTTTGGGTGCGAAGAAAATTGAAAGTCAATTGTCTGCAACTCACTTGGAGATTGCAGAAGGTTTGGCGAATACGTGTCACGAGTCGTATATTCGTACTCCAACTGGGCTCGGGCCAGAAAGTTTCCGGTTCACCGAAGGAATTGAAGCCCGGGCGCTGAAATCCTCCGAGAAATACTATATTCTAAGACCCGAGGTTATAGAGACTTGGTTCTACATGTGGAGAATAACCAAAGATCAAAAATACCGAGAGTGGGCGTGGGAGGCTGTTTTGGTACGTCATGTAATTCATATGACTTTTTTTTATTCATTGCAATGCACTTTCATTTCAGTTTTATTTTGTTCAATTTTTGTTGTAATCCTTGAATTTGGAATGTAATTATTTGATAGTTATCTCAATGGAAAAGGTTAATTGAGTATAAGGCTTGTACTGTATTAGATATCCCTGATAAACTAATTACTCTTCATGAGGATTATGGAGTAAGGTATACTTTTGGAAAAAATAGAGTAGATAAAATTTGTAAGCATTGGAGGAAATTACCCTGTATATAAGTGAAACTTTAGTGTGTATTAGTAGAGTATATATTTAAACATAGGCTTTTCAGTGCCATATCTTGAAAGTTAAATTGAAATTCATTGGTTAGTGCATGATGGGAGCCGGTCGGCCGAGCAGACAGCACGCTGGACTTGTAATCCTGTGGTCCCAGGTTTGATCCCGGGCGCCGGCGAGAAACAATGTGCAGAGTTTCTTTCACCCTATGCCCCTGTTACCTAGCAGTAAAATAGGTACCTGGGTGTTAGTCAGTTGTCACGGGCTGCTTCCTGGGGGTGGAGGCCTGGTCGAGGACCGGGCCTCGGAGACACTAAAAAGAAAAAAAAAATCAGCTCAAGATAACCTCAAGAAGATAGCTTAAAAATACTGCTTCTCTGTCTTAATATTAGGTGTTATAATAAATATGTCTGATTTAGTTAGTTACAGGAGCTTCATATCCAACTCGATACTGAAAATGAAGAATCGATGACGTCTCGGTCCGTCCTGGATCCTTATCAAGTCATGTAATTAAATGAATTGATAATGTTCCAGGACAGACCAAAACCTCGTCGTTTCTTCATTGTCCGTTGTAAGTTGGATATCAACTCTTCGGCTACATTATAAGGATTCATTGTCTATATACAGCAGCTTGTGGTTCCTTTATTCACCACACCTTTTCAGGCGTTGGAAAAACACTGTCGGGCAGAAGCAGGCTACAGTGGCATTCAAAATGTGTACATGGAGAATCCTCAGAAGGATGATGTTCAGCAGAGCTTCATCTTTGCTGAAACTTTCAAGGTATCTATATATATATATATATATTTATTGCTCAGATATTTTAAATTTTATTCTGCATTATTAGCAAAATTATCAGTTATTCTGTACATCATACGGAATATCATACACATATACGGTATTCCAGGAATACTGTATATGTGTATGATTATTATCATTATTATTATTTTTAATTATGTCAAGTCTTTCAAACCCTGTGGGACACAGTCTTTACACGGGTTGTAAATGGTTAAGAGAGATTGACCTCTCTCACGATTAGGAACTAGTTGAACAAATCCACAAATCTTGTGGATTTGTTAATTTGATGCATCACGCTCTTGTGATTTCTGTGTGTTAGGAAACTAGTTGAATGTGACTTTTGGCCTTTGGATAGAAAAAGTACTTTGCTGGTTAAAGAATGGGAGACATTTCTAGCTAAATGGTAGGAGACATATTAATTCTCTTCATTCATGCCAGGATGGTAGGCCTAACTTCTTAAAAATGGAGGAATCGACAGGTTGCCATCATGGGGGGGGTGGTGTTAGGAGAATAACTACTTGTTTCATTCAAGTGTTGCCAGAGGTATATGAACTTGGCACATGCAGCACAGTTTTAGAGTTGAATGACTAGTAAATCATAAACAGTAAATCAGGACAAATAAACAAAAGGGGAAATAGAAAATAAATTGTGGAAAACATAATGAAAGTGTTAAAGTTGAGATAGAGAGCAGAACACTGATGGTGCTGCAGTGTGACTAGTTGCATAGTATTGCGCCGTCACCGAGAGAAAAGGCTCGCCTTTACTTTGTCGATGTAGTTTGTCTGATGTTTGTTGCTTCATTCTGTTAAAGCTTCCCTCTCTGGAGAAAGGGTTTCTTCAAGTAGCACCTTCCTCAGACACATCTTCCCAGTTCTTGAAGAAATATGTCATCCAAGGACAAGCCTTTATTTTCAGAGGATGTTTTGCTCAGTGCAGATGTAATCGATATACTAGACTGAAAACAGGTTTGTCTTTGATCAGTGATTTTAACACACTGTACTTGCCAGCAGTTCATTCTCCTCAACCCTATGGTTGTGAAACATATTTAGTGCTTAAAAAATTTGCTGGGGGAGTGATTCACTTAGTGGGTTTAGTTTATAAATAAATGATTCAAATATAAACGTTGTTGATTAATCCATTTGTCTAGACCTAATAAATATTAACCCTATCCCATTAGCAGGCAAATGAGGTGGTTTTTTATACATGGTTTACTCAATTTTTTATGCAGCAAATGGCATAGATAAAGATTATTTGAAGTTATTCAACTGATAAGAATACTAGTGCTATTCCCTTTTTATTTCCACAGTACCTGTACTTGATATTTTCTGACGACTCGCTCCTGAGTTTGGACGAATGGGTACTAAACACAGAAGCTCATCCAATACCTATAGCTGGAAACAATGCATTTTACCGCAAAGCCGAAGGTATGCTCTGAGGTATTGATTTTGTATATTTTAGAGTTGAACGGTGATACTGAATTGTGTAAATGCATGGCGTCATTTATAAACAGCTTTATTTTTTTGTTTTCTTTGAACGTGTACCATTTTTATTTATTTTAATTACAGTACTTACAATACTGGGTATCACTGAAAATTACTGCTGTCATTTTCTTTTGACATGTGAAAGATTTCGTATGTCATAAAGACATGCAAAATCTTTCACATGTCATAAAGAGCATGTGAAATTTGTTTTCACATGTTCTTTTATTTTAAGAAATTTTTATCATTTGAATTTATCGTGTGAATTTGATCATGTCGGTGCTAATTTATACAATGGCACCAAAATGCCATTTCATGTGAATTTTACCTGAATTTTATGTAATTCATGTGATTTTTATCGTTTTGGTGCCAATTTCCATACACACACCTCCTTTCCCATCCTTGTGGGACCTCACTAGTGGCTTGTGGGACCTCACCAGTAATTTATGGGGCCCCATTAGGGATTTGGGGGACCCCTCTAGTGACTTGTGGGCCTCGCTAGTGACTTGTGAGACCTTGCTAGTGACTAATGGGGCCTCGCTAGTAACTTCTGGGGCCTCGCTAGTAACTTCTGGGGCCTCGCTAGTAACTTCTGGGGCCTCGCTAGTAACTTCTGGGGCCTCGCTAGTAACTTCTGGGGCCTCGCTAGTAACTTCTGGGGCCCTCCTCTTGGAGTGTTTACATTCTCGACTCACAATTGAGGATCCTAGTTTGATCTCCATGCAGGACAAAAATGGCTGGGTATGTTTCACTTGATGCAGTAAATTCTGCAGTTCACTAGCAGTAAGGAGGCAACCTTTGTGGGTTGCATCCTTTTAAAAGGTGAGTAGTTCAACCCAGCCCAGGTACAGGTTTCCTGTCTCTGGAGAAGGTTCCGGGAGTTCTTCTACTCCCCGAGCCAGGCCTGAGGCCAGGCTCGACAATAACCTGATATGTAACAGGAATTATATCAACAATGATATTGATGATATAATGATAATTGAGAGTAGGTAATTTGAGGACTTTAGCGCATATCTTTAACGTTCTGGGTAGCATCTGATCTGCTCCTGCTCTGTTTGTTATACGCAAATTATCTTTCTACTTCATCCTGTAGCTATTTATTTGGATTCCATCTCCTTGAGATGTTTTAAACATAAGTCATTTGTCTTTCTGAATTAACTTCAAAACTTTATACAAGTTGCCTCCCACATTTCTTCCCATTCAAAGTTAAGAAATTGCTTACATTATTCAGCATGCATGCAGTTGAGCTTGCATACCTGCGTATATGTTTGTACATACTTGTAAATTGTTATTTATGTACTGTATTTGTCTATGTATGTTAACATTTTTATATACAGTATTAATTTATTTGCAATTAATTTAATACAAAAAATATATGTTTTTTCAGTTCTGCCCTCACCTATTTTTTTTGTTCAGCTACATGCTGCATTTGTATCAATGAATTATTTTCCACAGTTCGTCGAGGTACCTTAGTGGAGGCTTCTTCATGGTGGTGGTGGTGGGGTTTTTTGATTTTCTTCCTTCTTCTTTGTGTAATAAAGTGTTATTTTGAAAAACAAGAGTAAGTGGTGCACTTTTTCAAGGGTGTTGTTTTGCTTAACTATTCTAGAGTAGCTCAAGTGTCCCTGAGGTACAAGAGTTGTAGAAGGTGTGTGTTTCCTTTCCTTCCTCCTAACACCGTACATTGCTATTTCATTTGTGTCTTTCTCTTCTGCTCTATTTCATGTTTTGCCCCACTCTTCTTCCTCCATCTTCTTTCTTATTCATCCCGTTCACATCCTCCTCCTCCTCCAGTCCAGTGGAAGCTGACAGGATATGCCTGCTATTTAGAGTTCTTGACGGAACTACTCTTAGCGGTGTCATCGGTTCTTTGTATTGGGTCCCAGTGACTGTGTATTTTGGGATTCTACATGTTTATTTGGAACGCTTGGGGTAGGGATATTTGGATATTACATGTTGTTTGTCATAGTCTCTCCTGAATGTTGTCCTCTTCTTTGCCCCAAGCCTGCTCCACCACAAAAAACCAGTTAATCCATTACTCTGCACTCATTTTCGGAAGATGTTGGGCAGGACGCGTTCAGGGTGATCCATGCCTTGAGGTTTCAGTTTTCTCTCCAGTAATCAGGGAGGACTGTCATTCTCATTGAAGGAACCTTGATTTATGGAGGGTCAATGTTTACATTCCTTGACCAGTCTTCTGGATAACTAACGTGACTGGTTCACTAGGTTGTTTTGAGCCATTTGTGCAACTAGCCCCCATAACTATTCCTGTGCACGCAATAGATCTGAAGGTCATGCATGTGTGCAGACACCTGCAGCCGACTCGGTTTAGCCACTTCGGGAATCATTCGAGGTGGTCATGTTATTGTGCATAGTCCTAGGAATCGTAAAGAAATTGTCTGATGTCACATATCCCTCGAGCAACAACATAGCAGTATGAAATACTACTCTTCACTCTCGTGTGGCCAAGTCAAAAACCACCAACACACTGCATCACCACCTGTAAACAAATTGGAAAAATACAGGAACACTCAAAGATCTGTATTCAACCTATATCTGAAAGTGTGTATAAATATCCATGGGCCCACTTGACTGAAAGAGTTTCATAAGATGATACAAGCCACTTAGCCAAATTATGATCCACACATACCCAACCAACATGCACGGCAAAGAATATAAGGTGACTCGCCAAGGGGAGGGGGACCAATTTTTGTAGGGTGCTGCCATTTAGTGATGACCAGAGTAGGTGGGTGGGTAGGCCAATTGGATGTTAGCTAGAGCACTCCTGTGCAGTCTTTGTGGTGTCATTCAATCTTTGTCATTCATTCAGTCTTTGGGGTATTCAATCTGTAAAATCCAATTTTAATAGTCAAATGGTTAAGTCAAACACAAAGTGTCAATATATTGCAGAGATATTGAAAATAGTTTCATATTGAAATATTGATTTCAGAGATAATAACAAATCCCTAGCATATCACAAAATATATTTCCTGTTGGAGAAATTCATCATTCTTCTAGTCCATGATCAATCCGACTTTGTTTCTGTTCTTACAGCACGTTATCCTCGAGTGTAATTCTTCCTTCATAACAAGAATGGCATGAAACCCTTAACATTGTTAATAATACAGCTAAATTCTTCCCGATCAAGGAATTGTCTTCTCAGTTGATGAATAAATAGGCTATTACACGTAAAATTGTAAGCAAACTTGAAATGGGGAGCTTCTAAGTGATTGTAGCTAATACTGTAGTTGGGAATTGTGGTAAAGGGCTGAAATGATTGTGGTTAAGAAGGAATATTGAAGTACTGTACCTGTATTTCTGATAAAAACATACACAGATAAATAATACTTACGAATGCCACTATCACTGCTCTTGCTTTTATTTAAAATATAATTATAATTCATTTGTGTTGGGGGACAGGCAGCCAGTTATATATACAATATATGTTAGGTCCTCGAGGTCCCCTCAGTGTCGAATCCCTCCCTAGGACGCAACCCCACAACAAGCTCACTAACTCCTGGTATCTATTTACTGCTAGGTGGACAGGGGCATTTTCTATCACATTCCTAATGTGATAGAAAACTCGTCCAATCATTTCTGTCCCTTACCTTGAAGTGTTTCCGGGGCTTAGTGTCCCCACGGCCCGGTCATTGACCAGGCCTCTTGTGGTAAATCCCACCCGGGATTCGAACCCGGAATTCTCGATTGTGAGTCGAGAACGAACCTGACTGCACTACCAGGACCCTTAATGTGTGAGGCGTCCACCTGTGGATTGCACAAGTACAGGAACTGTAAAATATCCATAACATTTCATATATCTTTTATGTATGTCACAGGTTCCCAAAATGAGTTCAAAATATTAGGAAAGATTAACGATGTTTTGCATACAGTAAAGAAATATGGATGAAATATGAAATCAAACCTCCTGTGGGTGTAGTTTCTCTTGAAAGATTACCCGCCCTCTTGCCTAATAGATCACATTTTTAATATAATCGACTTCTGTCAAAAATGTGACATATTTGTAAAAATGAAAATACTGTACCATTATATTAAAGTTTTTTAGTGCATCGGCCTCTTATTGGTTAGTGGGGGTTGTTTGGGTTCGTTCATTTCTGGTTAGATCAAACAGTTGCTTTTTTAACGTATTAGCATATCGAGAGAATAGACTTTATGATGAACCGACTAAGAATGTGTGTCTTAAAAAGAATGTCATATTGCTGGAAAGTGTGCAAGGTTTACTACTAGACTGTACAAACATTTGCTTGGAACTTATGTGACTAAATTCCCTAATAAAAGTAATACTGTACAGTCCAAGGACATTGGCCTGAGAAGATATTATTGTGTATTGGGCTACAATAATGCGTATGTAACTTGTGATTCATCAGTGTGGGGTATGGGTTTATAACCATCACAGTGCTAACACAGTTTGAACTAATCTAATGATAAGCCTGTTCGTGTTGAATGCTAAGTTATGGTATGAACATTACACATACATGCATACACATATAAATGAGAGGGGTAGTGTCTGCCATAACCATTGGAGCCTTCAAACAGTCATAGGACAGATTATTGGGAAGGTTGAACACCGCAAGTGTAACTCTCACCCCCGTAACCCCATTTTGAGCATTGCCATATTGGTAATTACTGTATAAAAACATTCATTACACATGCATAAGACTGAACATTCATGTTTACAAATACATACACAATTATTAGCATGCACATACACCTATATAGTAGGAACATGAACACACACATACTTGGACATTTGTAAATCCATGTATTTTCATTGTTTCATTCCTGATTCAACTGCTTTTAATTTGATAAATAATACTTAAATGTAACTTCTATAATGTACTGGGTACTTAATTTGATTTGAAGATGCCAATATTAACCTATTGCCCTTTTTTTTCTTTTTAGAGACTGAGAACCAGTGGTAAACAGCTGAACGAGAGATGGTGACGTGGTGACTTAAAACATATTACAAGGTATTATAGTATCAGATAGGAAAAATAAAGTAGAATTAATATATTGGTAAAAAAAAATATATATTTATTGAAAACTCATTCTTGTCTTGGAATGTAGAGGCTTCTTACTGTAGAAGATCATTGGAAGGGGGTTATAAAGTGGCATCTTATGATGACAGTATGAGCACAAGGCCAATTAATATACCGATTACCGTAACGTGACTTTGTCGTTGTACTCTCCAGCTGTGTATATTACATGAGAGGGAAGCTTGAGAGAGAGAGAGATAGGACCTGCTCACACTGACATTGATGTTTTGTCACATGCCCGATTAACTTTTCTACGGAGGCGAACGTTGCCTCTCGGATCCTCTGAATACATCGGTTGCTTGTTAATACAGATACAAGATTCCTACTTACTCTGCCCTGTCCTTTATTGTTGACTTGTGAGAGTTGCAGTACTAGTGATTCTGACTCCTGCACCATCACTTACATTTTGCAGTATCCAGAGGATATTTTGTGAGCACAAGTACGTGTTGTCAGGTTGAGAATGACTGGTATTACAAAAATATACAGTGTGCTCGATAACATGTTATGATCATCCCCCTCACACTGCTCCTTTGTTATATTTTCACCATTTGAAATCTTTACAAAAAATAATAATTTATATGATTAAATAAAATTGTAAACTTTATATGCAGAAAATATTGAATTATATTTATTTAATTCAGTTATAGAGTACAGTGCATGATTATTCCTTCAGTCACATTAACAATTCTTGCCAAAGTTGGGGGTGTTGTTAGCTCGCAAAAGTTGTTTTTTTTCTTCTGCTTTTAAGGCAGTGTTGTGTGAAAGTCGGTCGGCGTACATTTGTACATGTTATCCCTCTTCTTGTCTTGAGATACATTCAGTACTCATTTATTCTCTCTTACGTTCCTTTTATCACCATTTTGAGTCCACTCTAAAATTTCCTTCATAGATCCTTCAGCTCATTGTTGTTCAAGGTTCATAATCCATCCATTATTTTATACATTAATCTCCAGTCCAAGTTACAGCTGCTTGGACTGCTGCTGCTGGCCAAGCAGCAGCAGCAGCGGCAAAAATAAGCTGCTTATTTTGTCTTAAAAGAATTTGAGTTTTGGTTACATATCAAGGAGAAGGTATATGTAGATTAGTATTTTTTTTTACCTCGATACTTTTTTTTTTTTAAGAATTATACAGTTATTACATACTAAAGGAACAGTTGCAGTCTGAAATTTGAACACAACATTTTGGACAAAAAAAAAAGTTTAGGAATACACGTAGTAGTAAAATACATCATTGATGTATGATAATACATCATTACATGTATGATGGTAAATGTACATCAGCTAGAAACTAAATAAATAAATAAATAAATAAATAAATTCACACACACACAAGGTGAGTACACACATTTTAGTTGCATAAATGTTAATTTTTCCTTCGTCAAAAAAGTTTTCAAGGCACTTATTTGTATCTCTAATAAGTTTCATAATTACATCAATCTATTTGTTTATTTGGATAAATTTGGACCAGCCGTGTCTGCTGTGTCTAGAGATTCATTTAAGTCTGGGACTTTTTTTGGGGGTTCAAAATGTTATTTTATTAGCTCTAATAATAGAAGACATATTTGTGCATATTTTTATACCCAAAACTAGGTTTTTTTTTTTTTTATAATGCATACAAAAAGAATTATTGTAGATTTTGATGTATATTACCATGGAAAATCTAAATACAGTACTGTAATTGGGACTATCTCATTTATATGCACAGTAAATTGAATAATCAAAGTACAAGTAACCATACAGTAATTCATATTTGAATTGAAGAACATTTCAGTTAATACATCATTTATATGCCGTTACATAGTAAACTAACCGTGTCAAAGATCTCTTCCATTACGTAAACAATTAACTTGAATTTAATTAGTTTTCAGTTTTTTTGGGGGCGGGTATCGTTATATCACTGTTAGTCGTGCCTCGCAGGGAGACTTTTAACAACTTCATCTGAAACTAATGCCGTCATTACATTTTTAAAATATGTATTTTCATATTTTGAGAATTACGTTTACTCATTGGGCAGTAAAGTCTTTTTTTTATTGTTATTTTATCAGTTGTTTTTATTGTTGACTATTGGAACAAACATGTTTGGTCCTTTGCTTCTCATGTGTATTTTATTGATTGGAGTCTGTAGAATGTGTATAGAAGCCTTTAGCCATTTAAGTACAGCTGTTAAATAAATTCTATACTTCTCTCTGCATATCTCTGATGCCTTATTCTCTCTAAGAATTCTTCCTGCTTGGGAGACCACTACAGAAGAGACACTAGTTAGCCCAATTTAAGCATAATGCAGCATAAACAAATCCACAAGGGCCGTGACGAGGATTCGAACCTGTGTCCGAGAGCATCCCAGACGCTGCCTTAATCGACTGAGCTACGACATGAAGGCAGCGTCTGGGATGCTCTCGGACGCAGGTTCGAATCCTCGTCACGGCCCATGTGAATTTATTAATTTGATGCATCACGCAATTGTGTGTAATAATGCAGCATGTTCTATGAAGAGTACATTCCCTTTTTCCATACAATACCCATATGTTGTTTTTTAACTTGCTTTGCAAATCCCCTGTACTTGGCTTTGTCACGCCATACTTTACATGACTCTCCTTTTCTATTACCTCCCTCCCCATATTCCATACACTTCTCTCTTCCATGTTCCTTTTACCTACTTGTAACATGCCAATTTCTTCAATAGGTCATATTAGGAGCCTGAATTTGAGTTGTGTGTCATGCATTGTCCTTGTTCCATTTCTCTAGATCTAGGTTGGAAGATGTACTGGGGTACGTTTTGTATAAATTCTTTGGTATTACCGATGCTTTTCCCTCCATTACAACCATCCATTCCATCATTCTTTGTTCATTCCGTATAGTAAAGCAAAGTCCACCATTTCCCTTTCCAGCAGAAAAAAAAAATCGCCTTAATACTAGCATTTGCCTTCACCTTTTGTTGATTGCATGCATGCTTACCACTTTGTAACACACACACTTTATGTAGCAGGCACTTTCTGCCATCACTACTGAGGTGTTCGCCAAAAAAGACGGGTCAACAGAACTATATGTTGAGCTCCAAGTGTGTTCCTTTCTCTGCCCACTCTTACTTGCATCCCTCTATTAAATCCAGGTTGCAAGGACATTACATATTCATGTATTAATCCATTACCTACTTATTCTAAAACTTGCTCTGTCTTCCACTCATCTACATTGCTGTGCTCCAATTTTATGTGACTATTGTTGCCAGTAACTTGCCTCCTGCATCAGAAATTTGCAAGACCTCATATGCCATTCCAAAAAACTTACAGCCTAGGCTGTTACTTGGTCTATGACTGCTACATACAGCATTTTTCTCATTGCTATATACATTCTGTGTAGTATTCCTTTTTTAAAAACTGCCCTTGATCCTTGCTTACTCCACAATGTTGTCAATTTCCTCGACTTCTCAATTACAGCCCGTCCGTGCGCCTCTCCTAATTTACTTTATTAAAAGTAATAAATTATGATCCAGAAAGGATGTGTGCCTTTTGGAAATGTATAAGAACATTTAAATTGTGCCATAAATCAATCGCATCTGTCTTACTAATAGACTCTTTCCGAACCATTATAATATCTTGGCCATTTGTAGACCTTCATCAATCAATCAATCAATCAGTAGTGTAGTTAGAATATCTCCTGAAGAAGAATGCTTGTTTTGATTATGTCTCGTGTAAATGATTCACTCATTATTTATTTGTGTGATACAATGTGAATGGAAGAAGAGCATCAGGGTTCAGTACATGAAAAAAGGATTAAAGATTCTTTCAGTAGAAGGTGCTATTTCTTGTTGGTATCTGGACTTTTATACCATACATTAGTTTTATCATTTGTTATGCCTTACTTAATCATTTTAGGCTTGGCCAACATTTTTATTAAGAAAATAAAAAAGGCGTTCAAATTTTGCAACCTCTGTAGATGTTGTAAACCAGCACAGTCATAATTTCTGGAAGCTGTGTTATGTGTGTTTTTGTTTAGTTCTTGACAATCTGAATTAAGTTACTTGATGTTGACCAGACCACACACTAGAAAGTGAAGGGAAGACGACGTTTCACTTGAGAATGGTCCAGGACGGACCGAAACGTTGTCGTCGTCCCTTCACTTTCTAGTGTGTGGTCTGGTCAACATTTTTCAGCCACGTTATTGTGACTCGTCGTCTGCGTAGTCACTTGATCGTTCATCATCTGTAGCTTGTAGTCTGTGCATGGCAACAAGTGCTCCTTTCAAAGATTATATTGTATACTGTAGATTATAGTAACTGTTATTCCCTTTTTTGGGGGAGGTATACTGCACCTGTATATATATAGTATTGTAATATTGTTCTCCCCTCCTTCCTTACTCCCCTTCCGTAGCCCCCTTCCTTACCCCCCCCCTTCCTTACCCCCCCCTTCCTTACCTCCCTTCCTTACCCCCCTTCCTTACCTCCCTTCCTTACCCCCCTTCCTTACCCCCTTCCTTACCCCCCCCTCCAACTTCCACCTTCCTTCATTAAAAGTATCATGCAATATCTCTACATTCTCTCTTCCCAAATATTTATTTTCTCGGTTCTACCTTTTTACATTCACTTTTCACATTTCTTGTATAAATAGTTGTGTTTTGTTTTTCAATCTTGAGAATCTCGGGACTATTCTTCATCCTGAAGTACCTGTCATAAATGTATCGCTTGATTTAATAACTGCCTGTTGTCTGTCCTTAACCTTAACGTCATAACTGATCATAACCTACTCTGTGGCAGAATTTGTACTATGACTGGAGGCTAATTGGTTTATTTTGTCAAAGATCAATTTGTTCAAAATAATTTGACCTAGAATATATATGATCCTGTAAGAACTACATACATTTGTGTTTTTAGCTGTATTTTTATTTGTTACGGTAAAGTTTATGCATACGAGTTTCCAAGATATAAATAATGTATTTAGGTAACATACCATACACTATTACAGTGCAAAAATGAGCACGAGGTAAATGATCATAATTGTTTATCTGGCAAAAACTAAATTATTCAGACCAAGGTTTATTGTTAATAAATAATTTATGGGCTATTTTTATAAAATCTTTAAAGTGACAAGCTGGCTTGTTGAGTATTTCTTCATTTATTTTGGAAGGGGGAGTTGACGATCAGACAAATGTCGATCTTCGATGCGTGACAGCGAGTATGGAACGGATCACAGCTTTTTTTTTTTTTTTCCTTTTAGGTATGCGGTTGTGTAGTAAGGTGGTGGTAGATACCTCATGCTCTAGTTACAGTAGTGATAACTTGATCATTTACTTGATATCATACATCCAAGGTCAGATGTCATTCATACTTTGGTATGGTAGTGTTCCAGTATATTACTGAGCAGTAGGGGGAGGGAGGGAGGGGAGGGGAGGGGCGGGAAGATCAATTATTACCCACCCGTTGGCAGGTGGGATGCACCTAGTTACTGCACGAGCTACCCATAACTTGCCCGAGTAAACCTGCCCGCACGACAAATACTGAAACTTGCCCGATTGAAAATGATGCGAATTGTGTGTTCTGTTGTTAGCTGTGTTTCAATTCTACAGAATTGTTTGTGTGCATGAGCAAGCGTTCTCAGGTGAGGTTTCAGTATTTGTTCAATTTTACCCGAGGTTTAACTTCTGTTCCTGCGATTACATTTAATATGATATACTTACTAAGTCATGAATATTAACCAGTAATTTTTATATATATATATCAATATAAATATATATATAAATATATATATATATATATATATATATATATATATATATATATATATATATATATATATATATATATATATATATATATATATATATATATATATATATATATATATATATATATATATATATATATAAATAAAGGTTTAGTTGGCAAAAATATAAATGATGTAATAGATATGTAACCAGTACGTTCTGGTGATTCCAGCCATAGCACTATATGATAATTCTGCACTAACAGCATCAGTATTTGGAAACCCCAAGCCAGGTTACCATCCAGGATAGTACTGCACGTCGTTTAATTCGGACACCCCTGTCGTCGCCATTTAATTTATACAAATATGTACATTGGTGCCACTTCATGCAGCTGGTATTGAGAAATGCAACAGGTGGTGTCAAAAGGCGAGAGTTTGCTATGTTTTCGCCTGACTTCTCTGTGTAGCAATAATACAAGATCTGTCTCATGGGTTTAGGTGTTCCATTTTAATGTTCTGCTGTGAATATAAATATATATTTTTATATTTTTGGTCTTTTTTTTGAAGACTGTAGCCACTTTGAATATTTATTGCATTTATTTTAAGCGTGTGTCTGAGGTAAGTAGCCTGTAGTGGTCACATGGCATTCCGTAAATTTTCTTTTAAACATAAAGGAGTGTACAAAATAAAATGGACTGCCGATGCAGCTCTCTTTTTGCACTGTGCAAAGCATTTACTGTAGTGGAGGATAGAAGGCAGGAGGGATCATGGAGATACATTTACCGTAATGGGTTAAAGGGTAGGCGAGGGATCACAGAGATACATAATTCATGTCGTGAGATTTCAACAAGTTTGTATCCTGTATACAAATTATCATAACATTCTGCGAGGTGAATTATGAACGGGTTGCATAGGTTACAGTGCTTGTTCTAGAGGCTGAAACATATCCTAAAAAGAAAAATAATAATTCTCGCGTTCTTTCATCCTCTCGGCTTGGAGATGTGGAGTTGTATGTTGTAACTGGTATTTCTTAATATTTTAACATGATGTACAAAATTGTTTTGCTCTTTACAAAACAAAATAGTGTGCTAAAAGCTATTTATATTTTTTTCTTTACAGTAAAGTTCCATTTGCCTTGTCACACGCAAGTTCTCAAATGAAGTGTCCGCGTTAGTGAATGAATTTGCACACAATGTGTACAGTACTACTAAGTGTAAACTTTAAAAGATGCCATTTTTGCTTATGGATATTGGAAACGGTGCTGATACCTGTACCATACTATACTATACCAGACAACGACCGCACTCGAGTCTCATAACAAATTCAATTTTTTTTATTAGTAATTAATGGTTTCTTTTCACCTTCCCTCATCCAGTCTGATTAATATTATTGCTAGACATATGCAGGCGATGAGTCACAATAACGTGGCTGAAGTATGTTGACCAGACCACACACTAGAAGTTGAAGGGACGACGACGTTTCGGTCCG